AATCTGCTTCGAGTAGCCGGATATGGGCGACCAGCTCCGATCGACTCTTCAAAGCCGCTATGTCCTCTGGCTCGTCCTCGGCAGGAAGCATGGCGACTTTCATGTCCTCGATCTGTTGGGTCAAGCGCCCGATGTCGGTCTCCAGACGATCCCTGTCTGCACGGAGAAGCTCTCCCTCCTCGGCTAGCTTCCCCGAATTTTCTTTCTCCAGGACCAGCATCTCTCTCTCAGCAGCCAGCAGCGATGCCTGCTCGCGGAACATCTCCTCGGAGCGTTCCAGGGCAGTCCTTAACTTCCGCGAGCTCGAGGTGAGAGCCGCTTTCTCCTGCTCAAGTTCTTCAATACGGACAGGATCCTCCCCTTCCTCGGACAGCACCAGGGCCATTTCGGCCATTTTCACCAGCCCGGCCATGCTGGTGGCCAGGTGCCTCTTCCGATCCTCCTTACTCATCCTCTTGATAGTCTCAGCCTCGTCGGCAACCACGGACAGAGGGAATCTCTCAAAGAAACCCTCCTCTTTGAAGCAAGGGGGGAACCCGAAAGACCTGACGGCGCTGGTGTCCTCGCTGACCGCCGGACCGCTTTCCACCCGGGTCCTCTTTCTTTGTATCAGGTCGGCATGTGGCTCGACCTCTTGAACCTCTGGGATCTCGTCCGACGCGGCCCCCGAGCTGGGCGACGAATCCACCCTCACCACCTGAGGAGCGCCCGGACTATGTGGCGGGCCCATCCTTTTTGCCTGGGGAGCCTTCACGACCCTCCTACCCCGCTTCTGGTCGCAAGACAGCTTCAAGAGTCTTTCCCGTCGCCCGGCCATCGAACCTGCACAAAATAAAAGACGGGTTAGTGTCGAGCAAGTTCATAAATAAATGACGAGCAAAGAAATTCAAGCAATAAACGACCTAGCAGACGAGCAGCCTGTCTGAACGACTGACACTCCACGAGTGCCTTAGTATCGATCGGCCGGGACTCAAATGTCGGATAACCCTCTTCATCCAAGACATCTTCCCCCTCCCTCGTGGCCCACCGGGCGGGGTGGAAGCTGTCGACGAACCGACAAAGAGTGGCGTACGCCTTCTCGTCCTCCGAACACATGTCGCCCGCAGCGGTATGATAGTATCCAGTCCCGTGCTCGTAATGCCTGAACATCCAATGCACAGGGAACTTGGCTGTGCGGGCCATCACGGGATACCCATCGTTGTCTAAAACCGCCTCCCCGTCATCGTCGCTTATGGGCGCCTCCTCCTCGTACAGGGATTCTAAAGCAGACGTGGTAACTAGCCTCACGACATACCACTTGTCTTTAAAACCCCTTACGGAGTCCATGTACATCTTGAATAGTCTCCTCGACTGTTTTAAGGAGACCCAGCTGTGCTTCCCTCCTCGGGACTGGCGCTGCAGATGAAAAATTCTAAAGAAGAGAGGTATCGTCGCCCCAATCCTCAGAAAGTGACATGTCAGCTCAAACGCCCGGATAAAGGCGAGTGAGTTCGGGTGTAGCTGCGACGGGGCCAGCCCCAGATGGGCGAAGACCCCGGTCTGAAAGTCACTGAAGGGCAGCTACAGCCCAAGATCTTTGAACGCGATCTCGTACATTGGGAAACTATACTCGGGGTACACCGAGCAGATCCGGGCATTGGAGGTCGGTCGCGTAACAATAAAATTCTTTTGAAAATCAGGCTGACCGTGGCCCGCCTCAAGGACACCATATGGCTTTCGGTCACGCCGGCTATATATCGACGCGATTCCTCGGGGCTCGGCGCCCACCCAATCCAACAGAGGGTCGTCGATAATATCGATCAAACTCACTGCCTCATCGGCACTTTGTTCCTCCTGTTCGGGGCGTCCAGAGGAGCACGGCTCGTCCGCCATGGTTATCTGCAGAGCACGGGAAACCAGTCAATTGGACACGAAACCATACGCTCGACGTAGCGGACCAGATGTAGTGTACGACAAACCACGTCGTTCCATGCACGACCACAAAAGTTAGTTTGCAACAAGAAAGCAGTCGCCTCCCCGACGTCCAGATAACTCGATGGGCCCTTCTCCAAACCGCCTGAGCAAACCGACAACGCAGCCACTCTCCAACATGCCGACCCAAGGTATGAACATGGCGAGCAACATCATGAAACCTACGGCCAGAACCATGAACATACCGGGCACGATCATGAATCAGGCGCCTTGGATCATGAAGACCCCGGGCAGCGCTGCAGATTATTACCTAAACTATGTATCTACCGGCCACGAGCATGTGTTTGCCGGTCCTAAGCATGAATATGTCGAGCTAAACATGAGTTTACCGGGCTAGTCCCACGCGCACAGTCCCTAAAACGTCTACAACGCTGAAAATCATGCATTACAACAGGAAAATAAAGAAGATAAGTCACTTACTTGGAATCAAGAAGTGGATTCGGCTACGGAGGAAGAGAATCTGTAACGGAGATCGCAGCTATGAAAAATCTGGAAGAACAGCAACAGTAGGAGCGCAAAGAGTAGAAACGCGTTATGGGGCCCAAGGATCCTATTTATAGTGATGACGTGGAATACCAAACGTCACCTCGGGCAACCACGGAGTTTCTCTCCTCGACGCACTGCTCCCAACGCAATGATCACCCTATCATCATAGGGTGGCGGCACAGTTCCCGAAAGATACCTCGTGTGCTCGACAGACACGCGCCGGTGAGGATCCTCCGAGCATCCACCGCGAAAGATTTGTCTCCAAGCACGACACGGAGAGGCCCTCGAGGACCTGCATCTCTGACCCGGGCGCGAGACCCCGAAGCGGAAACGACCTGAGATCAAGTCATGGCTCCTAACAAAGGAACCACGACTTGGGGGGCTCCTGTTCTGGACTGGGCCCGACAGGCCCAATAGCATTGCTAAGGCCCAATCCAAATGGACTTGCTGAGGACCACGCCGACCAAAGGGTCACAGTCGTGCCCGACGTGCTCCCTGAGGTTATTTGCTCGACCTCTACATCTCCAGCTCGACATTCTGCTGTCCAGCTCGACACCACCTCGAGCACCCCAACTAGGGCAGACTCAGTCCACTGCACTCTCAACGAGACCCCGAAAAGACCGCGTCTCCGTCCGCCCGCACTTCACGCAGAACATCCAGGAAGGGGACCACGTGCGGGTCCCCACTACGCACGTAGAACCTGGCAGTTCCTCCATTGGGCCAAACCTGCCCGGCCCAAGGGAGGAACCTTGGCCCAGCGCTGGGGGCTATAAATATCCTCTGTTTCCAGAGGGTCAGGTATTCATCATTCTACCCATACTTACTATTGCCTGCTCGTGCTCTTACTTACTTCAGCATCGGAGTGTCTTGCAGGTACCCCCCACCTCGTTCAAAACTTTCAGCTCGGAGCCAGCCGTGACGGTCCAAGTCTGATCAGGTCAGATCAAAAACCATATAAAAATGCTTTTTTTTTAGATCAAATTAGACGCATTGAAAATCATATGAAAATACATTTCAAACAAATGTCATGCACACAAAATCATGAGAATTTATCCTGCTACCCATAGTTTATATTTAATACCCTCACATTTTTCATTAATTTCAAAATTGTAAAAAATTTCAGATAACATTTCAAAATTTTAAAATTTCAATAGTATATTTTTAAAAGTCTGGTATGAATTTTTTACCGATTTTTTTGAAAAATAAATTTATCATATTAAATATTTTGATAAATCTAGTATCTTTAGTAATTCTCCAGATTTTTTAAGATTGATAGTTCATATTCAATAAACAAAAAAAGAAACTACCAATTTTTTGAAAATTATTGCAGTTAATCAGATTATTCGGAAAGAGGGATAATTTTCTAGATTTTTCGAAAAATTCAAAAGTGTTAAAAGATATTTTGTCGAATATAAAATATCGACAGTTTTCAAAAATCTAAAACTATACCGAATTTTTCAAAAAATTCAATATTTCTTCAAATATTTTCCAAAAATCAGTGATTTTTACTGAAAATTTTGAAAAAATCCAATATAATTTAGAGATATTTCGGGAGTGATAGATTAAATTCTCAAAAATCAAACATATGAATGGTACAATATAGACAATATCCAGATTTTGTGATCCGAATAAGGATAAATTTAAAGGAAATTTTTTTTTAACTTTTCAGAACATGCTGGGAGGAGAAATTTCCGAGAAAGAATACTAGAGATGAAAACGCAGTTTGCAAACTACAAGTTACATCAACAATCCAGGGCTTTTTAATAGTAAGAGAGCTACTTTTACTTTAGTACGGGAAATGCAACAATAAATCAGTCGGCCAACTGTGAACAAAAAAAACATCTAAATAACTCACTATTATAAGATACTGGGCCAACTTGTTTTGACTAATTTTTTAAATGAATTTTATAGTATCACATAATTTTGTGTAATAAATTTTACAAAAAAACTTTTCATAAAAACTTCAAATAAAAATTTAGTTTAAATAGTTTTTTTTTAAATATTATTTTAGATATTTTGGATATCAAAATTTAAAAAATCACTTAATTTTAAAACTATTTTAAATAAATTTTCATGAAAATAATTTTTGAAATACAACTTTTTAAAAAAATTATAATTTCAACTATATTTTAATCTTCAATAATGTATGTTTATATTATAGGATGTCAAAATTAATATTTCAATTTAGAAAAAACAAATATAAAAAAACTTCTGTTTTGTAAAATCTATTTACAAAAATACAAAAAAAATCCATTTTTTTAAAACTGAAACAAAATGACTCATTCTCTTTCAAATGGGCACACCTAAGGAATGAAATGTTTTCTGGAGAATATGTTAACTATGTAAGAAATAATAACAGTAAATGGTATAGTTATGAATTGTTGAATACTTTTTGCCTAGTAGAAAAACTTCCTGACCCCATCCTGAAGAGCGTAAAATCCAGACAGTTATGATTAGAACCTACAAACTTTAAAATTTTCATTAACATGTCACTCTGTGGATAGGAAAATGCCAATTTTCTTCCCAATATTGATCATTGAAGCTTAGGTGGAATTAGAAATTCTCCATATACCAATCCTGTACCCTACGGACATTAGCAGAAGCTCCCAAACCATGTCTGGTATACTAAGAAGATTCACCTTGGATCCAGGAATCTCAGACCAGATTACAGAAATTTCTGAAATTGGGATCTGAAACCACTTACACAAAAAGACCAATTCAACATCAAAGCACCATCTGCAGAGAATGACAAAGACTATTAAAGAAAAGAAGCTTTCTGCATATATATGGCTATACAGAGTATGTGTAAATGGCAGAAAGCTTGATTAAACAAATGAATACAATATTCTAAACATACAAAGTATCTTTTATCATCTAAATATGAATACAATATTCTAAACATACAAAGTATCTTTTATCATCTAAAAGATACATAATTTTCATTTGCATTAAATGTCAATTGCATTATTCTCAGAGTGGGCTTCCTCCTTCATAATCTAAAATTTGGTGTAGAGGAAGAAGGGAAGAAGCTAAACAAGACATTTATATTCAATGATATATAACACCGGAAAATTTTATGCATGAATTATCTTCTAAAAATCAAAACACTATTCATTATGACTTTCTAGTTTATATCAGTTATAATTCTTTTTTTTCCCAAGAGTTGTATACAAGTGGTGCTTGTATTAGTCACAGAACCATCAGATCAGATCAGATCAGATCATTTCCTTCCCGACATTCCATTTTTCATATCATTCAAGCAAGTTAAAGAAAAATCGAGTGACGGCACAGGCTACTTTTATCATAATACACTTAGATAGTCAATCCCGATAGCAGCGCGGAACGGCTGACCCCCAAAACGGAGTAGCGGGACAGTCGCTTTTTAATATTATTTTGGACAAATTTCCGTGAATAATATTATAAGCATAAAGATAATTTGACTGTAAAATTAAACAAAATAACTCAAATCCCATAAAACAATCATATATCAAACCCAGCTTAATTAAAAATAACACTCGAAGCCCCACAAGTCTGAATCAAAACACTCAATCAACATCAACAAATCTTAATCAAAACATTATATGAGCAAGAAATTATAGACAATGTTGCCATGAGACTGAAAACACGGGAAAAAAACAGAATCAAAAATAGGATTAAGATTAACAAATAACACAAGACAAAGCAAAGTACAAAAGAAAGAAGGAAATGAAAACAAACAGAGGGGAAAGGAAGAAGGAAAAGAAATGAGGGAAAATTAAAGAGTGTAAAAGATTAAAAAAAAAAAAGAGAGAGAGAAAAAACAAAGGGAAAAAGAAATGAGTTGAAGAAATAAGAAAAAGGAAGATGATAACAGTGGGAAGATGAAGGTTGAAGGAGGATGAACCAACTGCAGAGAGAGCGACGAGCTTGAAGCCTTGAAACAACGGAAGCAAAAAAAAAAAAACAATTACCCTTAAAATGTTTTAGTTTTAAGGGATAATTTTGATTTTTCAAGTGAAAAATCAAAAAGCGACCCAGAATCCACTCCAGGCTGCGGTCCGCGGAAACCCTAGGAGCCCCCAAGACCCTACTCCGCACCATCACCAGCCTTACCACTGCAGATAGCCTCCTCTCTGTCACAAACCGCCGCGATAGCGGCGCCTCAGGCTGCTATTGACTACCTAGTAGTAATAGACTCGATTTTACTAAGAGGCTTTACAAGAAAACTTACACCAAATAATAGAGGAAAGCAAAGGGACGATTTTACTAGTGGCAGATGTAATATCTAAATGCACAATAGTGATTAGCTTCTACTTTTCTGTATATTTACTAGAAGACTACATACAGGAAATTAGAGTACAACACTGTTGACAGATGTAAATGACGATCTCTGTCCAACAACAACCAAGTCTTGTCCCACTAAGTGGGGTCAGCTACATGGATCAAGTTATGCTATAATGTTCTATCAAAGACCGTGTTTTTATTCAACTCGTTAATCTCGAGATCTTTCTTAATAGTTTCTCTTATAGTATCTAGGTCTGCCTCTACCTCTAGTTGGGGAACTCTACCCAACAGTGTGAATAAAAGAGAGAAAGGGGATTCTTCAATAGATCTCTAAGTTGATAAAATTTAAAGTATTTAACAGGATAAATGTTAGAATTAATAACTCTTAGGGTATGTTTGGATCGGTGGTATGTGATAGAATGGAATGGAGTGGTAACAAATGAGATTCCATTGTTTGGATTAGAAAATAATGGATGGAATGGAATGGAACATGATGGAATACATTCCATCCCATTCCATCCAATTCCCCATGTTTTGTTCCATCCAATTTGGGGTGTATGTGATGAAATGAGACATTTTTAAAAAATAACCAAACAATGGAGTGAGATATATATTCCATTCTGTTCCGCTTCATTCTGCTCCGTCATATTCCATTCCGCTCCACTCCGTCATGTTCCATCAATCCGAACATAGTCTTAGCAAGATAAATCATATCGAGATCAGGCAATTAAAGGGTAGGGGGATTGCCTTTTATTCAATTTTGTTTAGTGTTTTGGCCGAGAAGGTAGGATGAGTTATGGAAACACAGTGATTAAAACATAGAATCCTGCTGAATCAATGCCTTGTCATGGAGTTGATGCTTTACAGAAGCCCTTTTGATTGAGAATATTTTTAAAATGCAGTTTAAAGAGAAATATAATGGTGAGAAATCTTATGACAAGTCACGATTTGCTCTTCCTTTTCTGGGTAATAAAATGCTTATTTTTCAATAATATCAAATAGTTCTTAGCAAATAATTATGGTCTAAATACAAGATTTATAATAAACCCAAGGAATTATGTGTTCAATTGTCCTTCATATATTTAGAGTATTGCCAGTACATTTGTTCGCTTCCATATTTAGAGTGTGGAAAGGAGCATAGGCTAGTGATAGTGTGATACAACAAATAAGACAGAATAAAAATGAAGAAAAGTAGAGACTAAATACCACACAAGAGGAAAAGATTGTCCGAACAATTTACTGACATAATAAGGTAAGAATAATCGGTTTTGTATTATTACTCAGTTTTGAAGTAATTCCGTTTGAACATTCAAAAAATTATTGCAGTCTATAAAGTGCTAAGAAAATTCACCTTTTCAAGCGGACATTTGAAAAGAGTTTCCTAGCTGCAGCCCTAGTAAACATCTTGAAACCACACTGAATGTACAAAGTCAATATCAGAAACAATAAAAACCAAAATGCAATACACATGCACAAGCAAAAGCATAGAAGCAGTGAATAAAACACAAAATCAACACATTCATGTTACAACTTACAACAACGTCTAGCATATAGATTTGATCACTTAGTATGTATGTATGCAAAAGCTTTTGCTAAAAATAGCATGTATGAAAAACTAGTATGCCAACCATCGGGGTACTGAAATCAGAATGCAAGATCGTATATTAATGAAGTAGGCAATTACCTGTGTATCACGAATTCCAGGACCAGCCGCCAATAAAACCACGAGATGGAACCCCTTCATTAAAAAATTGCGGTACCACTTCCTCTGCAGATGTTAAGCAAGGTTATTCAACCTGGATGACGTATACACATGGGAACAAGAAAACAAAGAATGGAGAAGGCTGTGCTTAACTGTAGCCAAAGCTTTCTCTTCTAGATGAGCTCGTGAACCAAATACAACAACATGGGTATCAGATATTCTAAAGCTAGGATCACTACCACTTGAATCTCCATCCTTTTTGGCAACAGCTCGAATCTGACAGCAAAACATTAGACAATGTATATCAACATCTGCAACTAAAAATATAATGTAAAATAGTTATATATCTGTAAAAACTGCACATCATAACATTCCAGTAACCTGATTTTCAAGTTTTTCTAGGTCAGTGATGTTCGTTGCTCCATCGGCATCAAGCATGAGAAGTAATTCACCGCGTGAGTGCAACATTCCCTGTAATACCATGCTTTCAAGGAAAGAAGAAAGCCTTAATTAATGATGATTCACAAGCATAATGTGACAATTATTCTATATAAGAGTATATTTTAAACTATTTAAATTAGACTTACTTTTCTAATTGCCTCTCCCTTGCCGTGATTTCTTCCAAGAAGGATGACTCTTACCTTGTCTACTGTGTATTTCCTAACAAATTCGAAAGCTACTCTTTTAGTCCCATCAACACTTCCATCATCAATAATTATAACCTGCTCGAGTGACCACCGATTAAGAGATTAACAAAGTGTAACCATGGAAAGATGTGAAGTACAAACATATTTAAAATAAAGTATGTTTGGCCAGGAGGTTCAAATATACTATTCCAGGCCAAAATGATCTGAAAAACGATATTGATAGTAATTTCAGTTTAATTTAGCAAAGTTTATGAGTGAAAGAGCCTATTTTATGCATGTCCAAAGAAACATTTGAAAGAGCAATATATGATGTTTCACATGGTGTAATATATAGCTTTTTTTACAAATATATAGTAAGTCCATATTTTCAAGACAATGAGCTAGATTTCTTATACAACATTCCAAGAGAATGGAACTGGAAGTACCTCATATGAAAAAGAAGGATCCTTTGAAGCACGACGTTGCAAATAACTACAATGCAAAATGGCAAAAGCATGAGTAATATTATCTTCATGATAACAACAAACAATAAATGTTATACTACTTCACAAGATCAGCAGTTCCGTCACTAGTCTATGTACGAAGTATAGCTCGTTTAAATAAATGGGGCCACACAAAAGTGCATATAAAATTTAAATTTATATAACTATTACAAGCTTGGATTTTCCCTTTTGTTGACTGCACACTATGGTTGTTTCAACTTTTTTCGTCAAGGAAGGTCAAACATGTCATTAACATCTTGATATAAACAGAAAGGGATATGCTATGACTTACATCATAGTTTCCTCAAGTGCACCAGGAAGTCTATGTTCCTCGTTAAATGCAGGAATTATCAAAGAAATATACTTTGAGGCAGGATCAACAACATGTGGGCAAGGTACCTAAATAAAAATTAATAAAATCAGCGATCAGTAAAAGCCAATTCATGATTCGGGCCTATCCTCAAAAAAATGCTATGCATTAACTTGATTGATAAATTGGTAAATAAAAATAAAAATATTTTTATACATTTTAGGCTAGACTTTTGATAATTTGATATTCACAATGAAGGCCAAATATGTGAATGTTGGAACTCAGGGAACAGTGTGCTGAATTTGAGATGTTTTTGAGTAAAAGGTGTCTAAAGATTTATGTGAAATACACTAGTAATAAAGATCCTTCCTCTAGAAATCGGGATTAAAATAAGATTACAAAAGTATAAATTAAGGATAGGCCATAAAATGCCAACCACTCTAGCTCAATAATAGTGAAGAGATTGCATATGAAAGAGTAAGATATGCGAAAATCGATAAGCTCAAATGCTAAAGGAGATAGTCAAGATTCATTTTGAAGACTAGTTTTAAAATGAAAAAGTGAAGGACGACTAACTTATATTTCTGGATTAATTTAAGATGCAGAAACTTCAGCTTCATGACACGGATGATATGCAAATTAACTTATGACATAGAAGTGAATCATTGTCATGAAGTGTGCCTATCTGCCACTTAAGGAACCTTATATCTTTCTTTTGTATTATAAATGAACCTTGGATTTTTACTTTCCTTAGACTATGAATCCCGCCATATTAAGAGCATATACAAACACAACAATAACAAGTAGCTAGCCATACTTAATAATTCTAAAGAATTACACTAACTTTTTGATCAGGTTGTGATTTTATTAAAGTGTAATATCTATGCTTGATTATGTAGTTATCTCATGATAGGAAACATAGGTTAAGACATGTTTCCACTTTCAACTGGACCTATAACATTCAATCACTACAAGTTGTAGAATTAGCAACAAAATCACAATTTTACTCTTCCAAATTCACTTGTGGAAGGAAAGACAAAAATAAACCATTTAAAAGAAGACTCCAAAAGTCAATCCAACTAGATTTATCTCACTAAATTAGAACTCTTAAAATCTGTTTGTGAGTTTGAAGGGGAAGCCTTTGTGAATTTAAAAGGGAGGAGGGAAGAGAAATGAACGAAAGGATATTCTCCCAACTTGAATAGGGGAGTTTGTAATACAAACTCCCTCTAAAATTGAGGAACTTAAAAAGTTTATTGAAAGAAGACTCGAGGGATTTAGATAAAGTATTCAAATTAAATCTATGTTGTTAAAATATTTTCAAACATCAAAATATATAATCGATGATCATTCAGTTATCATTTCTCAGAAAAGCAGTCGCTCAAGAAATGTGAAAATGTCTGTAATTTTTTCTATACTCCTCCAAAGCCCTGCCGTTTCCTACCCTCTAAACTGGCAAACAAATCCTCACAAACTCTCCTCTCCCCCGTCAAAGAAACAAATGTAGATTTAACAGAAAATCTTGCATATCTACAGAAGCTCTAAAAGAAATATTTACCTGTTTCAACGAATTAGGATCCTCAAAAATAGCGGGAACTTCAATGTGCCTTCACAATAATCAAAATGAATACACTAAACAAACAATCACACTTGTTTTCGTGATATAAAAAAAAGATTAGATGAATAAAAAAAAGTACATACTCATGATTATTTCTTCTTCTATATGCTTCAATGAAGATAACAAACAGAAACCCTAAAACCAAAATCACAGCTAAGGTAACAATTAAACACAGAAGCTCCATTCCTCTTCACTACTATACCCCTGTTATGAAACAAACAGAATTCACATAAATTGTACACGGTAAACAATCAACAGCATATATAGCAGATCTAAGTAGTCAATCGGCCAATAGCGGCGGGGAGTGGCCGCAGGACGATACAGTGATGCAAGGTGAGTCGCCGTGACAGCTGCCTGAGATGCATTCACGAGAACAGCACGGCGCGTGTAGCTGCCGTGGCGGAGTTTCGCGACCGCTAGAGTGAAGTTTTATGGAGAAAAAAATCTGAAGATTGACGGTAGAGGAAAAATAAGGGATGGTGCAGAGGATATGAAAATTTTACAGTAAGAACCAGCGGCGTGGTTAATTACAGGGGCGGCTGCATATTTTGCTGGGTTAGACGGAAAGGAAGATGTCAAACTTTGCAAACTCGCACGATGAAATAAAAATTAAGTTTTTCACTCATAAAACTTAAATACAAAAGATAACTTTAAAAAAAAGGAGCCTTAAATAATGTTTTCATCTCTATAAGAGATTTCAAACTCTCTTTAATTCATAACATAAATTCCTCTCCGCTAAACCATTCTGTTTTTTTGTTTAATATTTGCAATGCTATGTACCAATTTCTTTTCAAAAATATTTTATTTTGTTTTAATAAGTATTTCAAATATTTGAAATCTAAAATTAGGGACCTTAGCACAAATTCAGAATTAGAGACAAAACAAAAAACACACCAACTAATTAAAAACCTAAACCAAAAAATATATATAGTAAATAATTATTTTATTAAATATTTCAATTATTTATTAAATAGGTTAATAAATATTTTAACTATTTATTAAATATTTTAATTATTTAATATCTCAACTATTAAATATTTTAATTATTATATATTAAATAATAATTTTATAATATTTCAACTATTAAATTACTATATTAATTATTAAATATTTCAATTTTTAATAATAAAATAATATAATTAAATAATAATTAAAAAATCTCAAACCATTTAATAATAAATTATTTTATATTATTATTTTTTAACAAAACAAAAAATAATGCCAAAACTCAAAACAAAACAAAATATTTTTCAAAACAAATTACTACGCTATGTAATATATATGTTTGTAACCCCTTGGCCACAATTTTTGAAAGTTTATCATTTAACACTAATAGGGACTAAAATAAAATAAAAACAAAAAAAAAACTTATGTGGAATTATTAAATATTAAAAAAATGACCACCACGTCAGCATCGTTTGTCACATAGGCGTTTTTGTAACAGAATTCTAACGTTATGGATTAACGTTAAAAAGAAATAGACATATAGAGACTTTGACTAAAAAAAAAATTCAGGGACCAAAATTAAAAATCCGCTAACTTACAGGGACGAAAACAATAAAGTCAAAAAATTATTACAATTGTTATATTTGTGGATGTCCTAAATTAGGGTGCCCTCGCCCAAGAGGCACATCGCCCAGGTGATCATCCAAAGACTCGTCTAGAAGAAACTCTGACATGTTAGTCAAGAAAAAAAGTCTCCACTAATTCCTGAAATATAGGCGGTCAATAACTTCTCCATATAGGGGGGGAACGGTTGATGCCATTAAGAGTGATTTAACCCCTAGGCCCTAAACACCTCTATAAATACGTCTCCCTTCGAGGGGAGAAGGACAGGCCCCAATTAGTACGCATTATGTACATCCTAAAGAGCATCACGCTCATTGCAATCTAAACGTGTGACCACAGTAATTGTACGCTTGATATCAAGCATCATCGTTTACCAGCAGGGCCTCTCACCTCACGTGAGCAGGTCTTCTAAATCACCTCAAAACACCATCGTACAAGGTTTCTCGATGTCGCAGGCAAGCCCTCACTATCCAATTGTGTTATAAATTTACTAAGGTCTCTGAGTTCCACTCGTCTTGTAGGGGGAGATGAACACATGTACTTTTTTACCAGTATATTGACGCCCTAGAAAAAATAATATATGCAAATCTATGTGCTTGCAGGTAGTGAAAGATCAACATCGAGAGTTTTGATGACGATAACGCATAATGATAGTTTGTTGCAACACTAAGGATCAAGACCATAGTACTTTTACAACCATACAATATTCAACAACAGTCTTGAAGCTTTCCTGATGTAAAGTGTGAAAGCTCGTCAAGTCATATATGTCTGTCTGTCTGAGTAAATTGAGTATCGTAAAGATAAATGTAGTAGCTTAAGAATACTAAGACAACTCACACATACACTAAAACCTTTTCTGAAACATGCTTTATCAAAAGAAAACATTTAAAAAATGCCTTGAAAGTATGACAGGTGACTTAGGAGTTGTTGAAATGGCTAGAGGGAAAAAATTTGCATTATCTAATTAATTAGGACTTCTATCTAATCGATTAAATCTACTCGATTTCAAACTTTGAACAAGATAATGTTAAATCCTTATCTGATACGTGAGAAAGAGATTCAAACTGTTACTCAGAAGATGTCCAAATCACATCATGAGCAGTATGGAACAAATACAACATTTCACTCAAAGTCTAAAGCTCTAGCAAGAATGCTTTTGGATGCCTCAGTTGGAAGTACCATCGGAACAAAAAATGAATAAGAGGTGAAAGATTTGATAGAGAAAATATGCCAAAATGAGTACCATTCACAAAGTGAAAGATGAGTCAAACCAAATGGCTTACTTGAACTGGATGCAAATATTGTAATGCTAGTTCAATGAGAGGTAATTTCAGAACATTTAGCAGGAGTCACTATTGAACCAGCCAATGTTAGTTAGGTTTAGGCACCATGCGTGATTTCTATGGAGAAGGACATGTTAATGGAAATTGTGTACCAGAGGGAGTTAATGCATAAGCACAATATACAATTTTTCAAAAGAGTAATTCCTACTCCAACACTTATAATCCTGGTTGGAAAGATCATCCTAACTTCAAGTGGAGCAAGAATCAAAATCTAAATGCAAATTAAAGGGTTCGACAATCTCCACAAGTACACAACAAAGGAAACCATATCAACTTGAAGAATCCATGGATGAATTCATGTAAATGACTCAAGCTAATTTCGAGCAGGTAAGCGAGAATCATAAAAAATCTAGAGATGCAAATTGGCCAGTTATATAGACAATTAGCGATATAACCCAGTTCAAGTGGGGATTTTATGGGAATATCATAGACAAACCAAAGAATGAGAGTTGAAAAACCATATAATCAATAAAAAGAGTAGTACCTTCAATCCTTAATGTCAGTGGTGAGAAAAAAGAAGTGAGTAGGAGTGATTAGAAAAATCAAGATGAGGAAATAATTGATGAAGAATGGAAAGTCGTTGAAAAAAAGGGAGAAAAAAATTGAGAAATCGAGCGAACACTTTATTTAGGGGGATAGTCTTGATGAGCTCATATATTTGAACTCACATTTGAGAAGAACTAAGAAACAAATCCTCAATGAACTTAACCCAGAACTACCTTACTATGTCAATCCACCGTATACGCAAAGAAAGAAATGGAAGTGGAACTGTTTAAGAATTTTATAGAGATACTTACAATGATACATGTCAACATTCCATTATGTGAAGCTCTTGAGAAGATGTTAGTATATACAAAATTCATTAAAGAAATCTTAATTGGAAAGTGTAAATTATAATATTGCTTTAGCATAATAGTGTAGTGCTATTATTCAATGCAAACTGCAAGCTAAACTAACTGATCCAGGTAGATTTACTATTTATTGTTCTATTGGTCCATTAAAAACTGGTCATGCATTGTGTGATTTAGAGGTAAGTATCAACTTGATGCCTCTATCTATGATGAGGAAGTTGAACTATGGAGAACCAAATCCAACTTAAATGTCCTTACTTTATCTTATCGTTTTATCACTTATCCATTTAGAGTTCTCGAATATGTGCTTGTGAGAGTATATCAGTTCTTGTTCCTAGTTGATTTTATGATTCTCGATATGGCAGAATATTCTGAAACACCATTATTACTGGAAGAACTTTCTTAGAAACATGTAAATCTTTGATTGTTATAGAGATAGGTGAACTTATTTTGATATTCAACAAAGAACAAGTTGTTTTTAATGTATTTGAAACCATGAAGCATCAAAGGAAAATCCTCAATGTTATAGAGTTAATGTATTGGAAGATATGATTTAGAAAGTAGTTGCGAATGAGTCACCATCATCACCTATGGTCAGAGATACTGTTAATTACATTGAAGCAGTAAAAGAAGAATCTGATAAAGAACTAGTGGAATGTGTTCTATAGTTCCAAGTTACTCAAGTTGAAAGAACAATGAAAAAGATTAAAGAGTTAGGTGGTAGTGAGTAGAAGAGATTTATTAAAAGTTCTAATGATCCTGAATTGAATGAGCTTCCACCATACTTGAAATATATCTTATTGGGAGAGAAACCATTGCAACTAGTTATTGTTATTAGTTTATTATTTATTTTGGAGGAAGAAAAGCTATTGATATTTCAAAGAGGAAATAAAGAAGCACTTGGTTAGAGTGTGTAATACGGTGGGAGAACTGACTTGGTTTTGGGTTTTATCGCAAATGTTGCGGATAGCAAGAGTCGCCACTGACTTTTCTTTTATCCAATAAGGAAAGGGTGAAAAGAATGGGAAAGACCTTCGAGAATTTTCTGAGTTCGGGGATAGGTTATGAAAAGGGAAGGTGTTAGCACCCTTTTCATCCGTAGTTATCTACGGGCTCTTAATCGCTAGCTCACTTTTGAAAATGCTTTGTGAATGTATGGTTGAAAATATTTTGAAAACGCCTAAGTTTGGAAACTTTGTAATGATTCTTGTATCAGTCCTCAAGAATGCATACAAAGTGTTTGTTTGAAAATATTCTGTTTTGAAAGTGTGATGTGAAAATGTTTTGTTTTGAAAAATTTGTGAGCAAGCGATTACGAGCGATCTACCTACTCAAAAGTTTTTTGTGTTATTTTACTCCTCCTTTAGATAGTGTTGTCCTACCATTAGTTAGTAGGAAGCCCCGTCGTTGGATGTGAATGG